GTCTTCTTCGAGATCGGCCTTCTGGACTGCACGGTGCAGTGCTCCTTGAAGCCGCGGTGAAGCTCGACTCCTGTTGGTGACGCGTCGCGCGGCACTGCGCGCCGACGAGCGGCTGCGGCAGCAACGGCTGGCATCGATGCGCCTGGTCGCAGTCATGGTCGCATCCGTCGCAGCGCTGCAGCCTCCCAAGGCTTTGCAGGCCATCCTCTTCGACATCGATGGGACGCTCTTTGACTCTGACCCCGTGCACCTGCGCGCGTTCCAAAAAATCCTCGTGGAAGAGGGTTTCAACGGAGGCGTCGAGATCGACGAGGCGTTCTTCATGAAGACGATCAGCGGCCGGCAGAACAAGCTCATCTGCCGGGACATCTTCCCGGAGTGGGACGAGGCGCGCTCCGAGGCGTTCTCCGCGCGCAAGGAGCAGATGTTCCGCGACATGAGCAGAGGCGGCCTCGCGCCCATCGACGGCTTGATCGACTTCATGGGCGAGATCGACCGCTGCGGCCTCCGCAAGGCCGCGGTGACGAACGCGCCGCGGCTCAACGCCGAGTCGATGCTCGACGGCATCGAGCGGCGCGGGTGGTTCGACGCGCTCGTCATCGGCGACGAGTGCGTCCGCGCGAAGCCCGACCCGGAGCCGTACTTGGTGGCCGCCCGGGCGCTCGGCGTGGAGATCGCCCAGTGCGTCGTCGTCGAGGACTCGCCGTCCGGCGCGTCGGCGGGCGCGGCCGCGGGCGCCTTCGTCGTGGGGATGTTGTCGTCGCAGACGCCCGAGGCCCTCACCGCGGCGGGCTGCGCCGCGCTCGTCCGCGACTACCGCGAGCTCGGCGCGCTGCTCGCGCTCGAGCCGGCAGGCCAGGCCTCGCAAGACTCCGTGACACAGGTCTAAAGTTCCCCAGGGGCTCCAGTGCACTGGGAAGCCGATCCGATGGGCAGCGCCCGACTTTGACGGCCGCGTTCGGCGGCTCGGTCCGCCGGGCGCCCCGGCGCCCTTCGAGCTCGCGCCGCGCCGGTGGGCGATCTTCGACGCGCCGCTCTCGATCTCGAGAAACGAGCACGATTTCGGGGCGAACGGGGCCTCTGGATCCGGGCCATTTCGCCGCGTCGAGGGGCGATATGTCGGTCCTAGTGCAGAAAAAACACGGGGGCGCTGGTGCGATCGCACAGGGACCTTGTTGCGATGGGATCGCACCGGCGCCCCCGTGTTTTTATGTCCATCATCGCGCGCGCGCGCGTGGCAGCCCCGGCGGTGCGCGTCGAGCGCTCCGAGTGGTCGTGGCGGTCAGCGCCGGGCCCAGACGACGATCTACGCGGCTGAGGCACTCGAGGGGTGTCTGAGAGGGCCTCGAAGCGGTCGCGGGTGTCCCCCAATGCGCGTTTCTCGGGTCGTTGACCAGGTTTGAGCCGCGGCGCGCGTCGTGCTTGGCAGCCCGTCCACAGCCGAGTTTCGGCATGGATGGCTGCTTTTCAGCTTTGGTCCTCCAGAGGACATGTTGGACGGACCCCTGATGCGCTGGGGTCCAGCGGGAGGGTCGCCAGGGGGTGTTTTGGCGCCCACCATAATCACTGTTCATGACTACTCAGAGAGTCCAATCGATCAATGGTCTATCAGTTGACTCATGAACTGTTTAAGCACAGTTGATTCGACTGAGCGGAGGGGGAGGTCAAGCGGGGCCAGGGCGTGGTCTGAAAGGCCTGCCGTCGGCCCGGGGGGGGGCGGCGCCTCCCTCGGCTCTCCCCCACCGACGAGTGCGCCCGTAGATGTCACCTGCGCCGGTGTTTTACGTCGACGCGCGCGCGAGGCGCGCGGGACTGGACAGCGCGCGCCAGGTCTTCGGCGAAGGCGTAGGTACGGCAGATGATGTCGCCGGGGAAGGTCTGCTTGGGCTCGGCGTAGCCCACGCCGCAGAGGCTGGCGCCGTGGGTCTCGGACGTGCACGCGGTTGCCCTGAAAGCCCGCCGCGCGGCGGCGAGCGATTCGGGCGCCGCGGTGAGTCTCGAGCCAGCGCGCTTCCATGGAGCGCGGCACGGTCGTGCGCCTCCCTCGAACGCGGAAGTCGGCGGCCTCGCGGGTCCGAACCCAGAGATGCCAGGGGGTGCCGAACCAGCGTGCTCGCGCACGACCTGAAGTCGCCGCCGCCAGCCGACACTGGATGGGACGGCCGGAATGCGCCACCGTCAAGCCGTGCACGGACAACGTCGCGCCGGACTCCCAGACGAGCAGCGGGCCCGCCATGGTCGGGTCGGGGGGGCAGCGACGACGGCGGCGCGTCATGCTTCACGAGCGGCTGGGCTGCTCCCTGGTGTACTATTTTTTAGACCTGTGAATTACAAGCTCGGGGCGGTAGCCCCGAAGCTCGGGGCGCAGCCCCGAGCGCCGGAGGCGCTCGGAGGCCGGGGCCGGAGGCCCCGAGCCAGAGGCCCCGAGCCAGCCCGAGGACCGGGGCCGGAGCCCCGGGCAGGGAAGACCGGGGCGGGGGGGCCCGGGCGGGGAAGACCGGGGCGGGGGACCGGCGCGGCGGAGGCGACGGCCCCGCGCCACGGGAATGTCAGGCCGCGGGTCGGGCAATGCGAGGATGGCGAGGCGGGGCGAGCTCGGGCAGGCGGCCGGTTCGGGACCCAGCGCCGGCAGCACGACAGCGCCGGCGAGCGCGCCTCGGCAGGTCGCGGGTCCGCTCCGCAGACGACCCACAGAGCTGGGCGACGCGTCCGCGGCATCGATGGCCCTCGTCGCTGCGGTCAAGTCAGGCGCCGGGGCAAGTCAGGCGCCGGGGCAGCACCAGCGCGGTGGCAGAGGCTCCGCGCTTCGCGCGGTGCGGCGTGATCAGAGCTTCGCACCCCGGGCAACGGCCCGCGTAGCAGCCAGGAAGACTCCGCGCTGATAGTCGAGTCGCCGAGGCCGGGCGACACGTCACGAGCATCGAGGTGGCGGCGGCGATGCGGAAAATTTTCCTCCGCGCTTCGCGCGGCCGAGCAGCGCGACGGTCTCGAAGACGTTCGAGGGGACGACGCCGACGCCGACGCCGGGATCTTCGTCGATCTCCCGCCGCCCGCCGGCCGTCGCGTGCGTGGAGTCCATCGCTCCGAGTCCCGTGGGCACTCGTCGAGGTTGTAGTCGTGGACGCGGCCGTCTCGAAGTCCTCGGGCACGGTCGGCGCGCGAGCCGGAGGCCCGCGGAAGGCCCGGAGGTAGTCGAGGTGCTAGGACTCCTCGCGGACGACGTCCACGAGCTGCATGTCGATGGACTCCTTGTCCTCCGCGTGGTGCCTCGACCGCGGGCTGTGCCCGCGTC